TCGTGAGTACCAAGTGAGTACACCAGGGTTATATACAACAAAGATCTAACAACCAATGGGATGTGTGCCTTCCGCCTCATTTCCTGTTCCTTGTTTGGTTGTGGGCTTAGGGCAGATACACACAATCGATTGTTTGTTTACTCTGGGTTTTATATAACTTGTATCCATTTAGTACTCATAGAAAGGATTGTAGAGTCATTTTTACTTATCTTTCATCAAAGCATGAAATATAGGATTTTCTGGAGGAACAGACGAACTTTTCTAAACAATTACTTACTACAACTCTCTTACAACTTCTTACATCACTAAAATCTTATGAACTCACCAGCTTAAATGCTGATCTACGCTTTCAAAATAACTTGTATTCTCAGGAGACCAGTAGACAGGTACGCGCACTGAGATTCAGAAGATGGAGCAGTATAGCTTCAAGTCTTGTTTTGTTATTTACTTTGTAGTCTATGTTATGTGAACCACATACTTTGTAAACACTTTCCTTATAATGAAATGGTTGTTCATTACTTTGATTACTATGATGCATGTCTTGTGATACTAAACATGACATCCTCCACCCCTGAACGTTTCCGCCGTTCCGGTTCTGGGGTGTGACACAAAGCGCGATTGGTTGCGAAGGGTATGTGCAGCGAAAGGGGGTTGATTTTGATGAAGTTTTTATGCCCATTGCACGATTAGAGAAAATTTGAGTGCTCCTAGCTCTTGCAACAATGGGAGGCTGGAAAGTTCACCATCTTGATGTGAAATCCGCTTTCTTAAACAGAGAGTTAAAAGAATAGGTATATGTTTCACAGCCGGACGGGTTTGTTATTGCATACAAGGAATATCAGGTTTACCGGTTAAATAAAGCTCTCTATGGGCTATGACAGGCTCCAAGAGCATGGAACGTTAAGCTCGACAAAACACTCAAGGATATGGGTTTTCACATGTGCCCCCAAGAACAGTCCGTGTACCGACTTCAAAACTCAAAGCGATACTAATAGTTGGTGTATACGTAGATGATTTGATTGTGACAGGTACGGGTGAAGAAAAGATAGTTGAATTCAAGAACCAAATGAAGAAAGTATTTGATATGAGTGATTTGGGTTGATAACCTACTATCTTGGAATTTAGGTGAAACAATGTAAAAAAAGGTATAACAATCAGTCAAATGGGATATGCATAGAAATTGCTAACAACAGCAACAGCAGGTATGGCAGATTGTAATGAGGCAAAATATCCAATGGAACCAAAACTAAACTTAGACAAGAATGAAGATGAAGCAACGGTAGATGCTACAAAATTTCGGAGTCTCATTAGGAGCTTACGTTACCAGATACACACAAGGCCAGATCTTAGTTACTCAGTTGGGGTGGTCAGTCGATACAACTAGGTTGTACTATTCCAGTTGTACCTTTTCCATCACCGCAGCCACAAACTTTTATCATGGTCTTGTGTATAGTCAAGGAGGAGATGGAAACTTGGTGGGTTATAGTGATAGTAGTTACATGATGGATTGTGATGACGGAAAAGGTACAACTGGAATGGCATTTTATCTCTCAGTAAATCTGGTCACATGGAGTTCACAAAAGCAGAGGAATGTGGCTCTGTCTTCTTGCGAGTCAGAATTCATGGCAACAACATCAATGGTGTGTCAAGCGTTGTGGTTGAGAAACCTATTAAAAGAATTGACCAGCTGGGAGGTTAGAAAGGTCAAGTTGTATGTAGACAACAAATCTACAATAGAGCTCATGAAGAACCTTGTATTCCATGGTAGGAGCAAACACATTGAGACTCGATACCATTTCATTCAAGAGTGTGTTGAAAATGGATTAGTTAGTGTAGATCATATAAGTGGAGAAGAGCAACGGGCAAATACTTTGACCAAAGCATTACCTCGGGTGAAGTTTGCTGAGATGAAAAATCTTTTGGGAATTGTAAAGCTTGAAGACCCTATTCAGAATTAGGGGGGAGAGTGTTGGAGTTAATTCTGATTTGAATTTGAGTTTAATGCAATAAAGAGAATAATCGGTTACCATATTGTGGTTAACATGGTAGTAAAAGTTTTTAGTTATAGTTTTTGGTAGTTTTAAAAGCACTTTAATTCAGTTTTCAATGCAATCAGTTTGTAGTTTTGTTTCACATTTTATGTTTGCACTCTTGTCCCTATAGCAGTTCGTGCAGTTTTTTTTGTTGAGATCATTTGTAGCCTGATTACCAATACTGAAAACCCATAATAATAAATAAAGTATTAATCATTTCTTAAAGTAGAATGTTATAATAGGAATAAATGAAACTGACCACAAAACATGTGACATCTTCATGCAAAGTAACATATGACATCTTCATGCAAAGGATTTGTTGCACCCGCTGTGGAACGCAGTCCACAACGGTGCAAGGTCCCACAGAGAGACTAAGTATTTTTCATTTATTTTCTGTTAAATAAAAATGTAAACTTGCAATATATATATATATATATATATATATATATATATATATATATATATATATATATATATATATATATATATATATATATATATATATATATATCTTTCATTTATTTGTGTATTATATTTATAGCATCAAACTCTATACATAAAGAAAGTCAGAAAATTGACTATTTTTCCATAAATCATCTGTTTACAAATGTCATTTATTTTCTCAGATAGAACTAAATGGGTAAAAAGAGGAGAAACGATAATTCTTATATGTGAATAACTTTTATCCCTGACTATACGTATGGGATATATGATGATGAGTGGATGATACAAATAAGGGTAAATTACAGAAACAACATTATATTTTGGGCAATTTTGCGATTTAACCACTTCTACTTTATTTTTTTCCAATCAAACCATTTAAGTTTTAGACATATTTCCAAATTTAACAATTTGATCTTATATAACATGTCAAAATGGTTAATTTGGAGAATTAGAATGGTTAATTTGGAAAAAAGTCTCAACTTTTATGGTTTGATTGGAAAGCATAAAGTATCCGTGGTGTAATGACAATAATTGCCAAAAATACTCTTTTTTTTTTTTTTTTTTTTTTGTAATTTGCCCTGTAAAGATAAGATGATGAGGTAAATGGATAGAGACCTGAAGCTTCTCAAAAGAGATCTCATTTGGTGTTATTTCAAGTTCATCACGTGCAATACCCATAAAAGAAACCAAGAAATCATCCTGTAACTCAATCAAATCAAATATCAAACACACTGCATACTGCATAGCATATACACTTTCTCCATACAGGTTTAGAATTTTCAACCTCCCTTTCTATCTTTACAGTATTCTCTTCCCCAAAACATTTTTTTTGCCAAAGCAAACCAAACACCACTAACTGAATGTTATGTTCCTCTTGCATGAAAACAGAAAAACAAAACCACCGCTTTGGCAATGGAAGCATATAATCAATTACATACAATTTACATCATGTTTATTGATGGCGGGGGGCAACCAGCTCCTCATGTAACCTACTGAACACTAATTTAACAGGGATACAAGCAACTGCTGTGGGCAATGACTCTGGTTTCATCATCATCATCATCATCATCATCCCTATCCCTTGTTCACCTTCTGCTTTCAAATCCATATTGTGCTGCTGTTGTTGCTGTTGGGTCCCGCCTATTGATGATAACGTCCTTATTTTCTGACTGCTGCAAGATGAGGTGGTCCTCCTTTGTGGCTTTTTTGGTGCAGCCCACTTTCTTCCCTTGCTGTTGCTGCGATTAACACTTGCTTTTCCATCTTCATCATAATACTCCTGAAACTGAAAGGAGGCCACCGCCTCTTCTTCTTCTTCTTCTTCTTCTTCTTCTTCTTCTTCTTCTTCTTCCTCTAATGTTGATAAAAATTGAGGCGGCCGTGCAACTGCAACCCCCCGACACTTGGCGGTCCTCCTGGCGGTCCTCCATGGTTGAAGCGGCGCACTTGTGTCACCACCACCTAATAATAATAATGATTCCATTTGGAACATATCATCAGATGAACCATCTTCCAGGGCTTCTACTGGAATAGGGTGACCCACTATGGCCTTGTCATTCAATTTGCTCATCAGGGAAATCATGGGCACGTGTTCTCTCTGATAACTTGATTGCACTCCTACTTCAACATCAATCAACATCCGGGTCCCATGCCTCCTCACATCATCGTCGTCATCATCATTATCATCGTCATCGTCATCGTATATTTGGTACTCACCTGAGTATGAGTATGAGTATGAATATCCCTTCAAACAACAAGGGTAAGGATCAGGATCATCATCCCAACTCATCATGTCTAGCAAGCCTCCACTAGCTTTGCTTCTCAAACTTAAACTTGTGTCAATTCCATTGAAACCCGTCATCCAGTGGCTGGAATTTGTAGCTACCTTTCTCTTCCTCAAACTGCGACTATTCCTTTTTCCCTTCAGCTGCCATTTGGAGACTGTTGCTACGGAATCATCAGGAACTCCTCCTGACTCATCATCACTCATGCTCTCCTCATGTACCCCTTGCCTTCCAAATGCCTTTGGTATGAATTCAACATCTTCAGCTTCATCTAAACCACAAATCAAAATAATAATAACAAAAAGTTCAGACAAAAAGCAATAAGAGAGAGAGAGAGAGAGAGAGAGAGAGAGAGGAACAGTTACAAACAAGTGCAACCAGAAAACTAAGCAGGAGGGACTCGATACAATTCAAACAGTAATATGAATAACACTTGCAAGCAGCCATTGGGCCTCAAAAATTTAAATGTCACAACACAAAAATACAAACAAGTACTTATACTAAACACATATTTGAGAATAACTATCTTTCGATATTAATGTAAATACTTGACAATCAATACATTTTTCAATTGAACAGTCTTCGGAATTCATAATGGGTTTTTATGGCTTTTGGGCAGAAAAATCCCCCTGCTACATTGCTAAACATCATGAACATGGTGTTTCAGTTGCTAATAAGGATGTCTTTTTTGCTTTTTTATGACATTGGGATTTATTCAAAGAGCTGTAGAGAAGCATAGGGAGGATCTAGACTCAATCCTACTATGTCTGGTCGGTATAGTTGCAAAGAAGAGTAAATGTGTAATTATTATGCAATCATTGGCACGCTGGATCAATGTAAAGTCCAGAGTGTGAATGAACACAAATTAATGCATGCAACAGCTTTGAGAAGCAAAAGCCAACGTTCACAACAACAATGGAATTAATTATGTGTCCATGGGCCAACTGAGAGTTTCAAACCACTAAGCATATGACATTGGCAAATAGAAAAACAATGACATTATCCAGAAGAAAAACAATAAAATATGAACCTGAAAGTGCAGCCATTGCATCATATGTGTCCGACATCAGAGATTCAGTGCCAGAAGAGTCAGTTTCAGTGTCTTCATTAGATTCAGTAGTGTTTTCTTCACTCAATGCAACAGGGAAGGACTCGTCCCTTTTCTCAAACTTGGGTGCTGAATTTTCCACTTGGTCAGGGATAGCTTCTCTAGTGTCACCTGGATCATTGCCACCCACTGCACGGTGTACAACTTTTCTCTGCTCCTCCCCTCCATCAGTCTGTGGCTGCAAGGGGTGAGTGTGGTCATGGTGGGGCAGTTTTGCACTACTCAGGAGTACCTGAACAAGAGGGCGATGTCTGTCACGCCTCTTACCAACTGATTCCTCCGTATTCCCCTCTTGTGACCTTTTCCTTTTTTTCTCCAACAACTTTTTACTACCGACAATAACCGTATTTTCTGGTGTAAGGACATCTGAAGCATGCCTATGGGAACCATTTGAAGCAGCCAAGGAAGAGAGTTTATGCTTGAAAAGAATAGGACGTACAGGTACATCATCTACATTCAGGTGACTCCTTGACTGAAAGGAAAGACCCTTTCTTTTGTCATCAAGAGACAGATCCACATGTTTACCACTGTCACGTGATAATTCTGGAGTTATAGTTGTGTCTTTTCCTAGTAACTTGGTATTATTAGATTGGACACCTGGTTTCCCATATTTCTTTTCCAGCACTTGCTTCTCAAGCTCAAGTGCATGAAGGATAGCATCTTCCCTGCGTGCATATTTCTCTCTTTTCTTTGGAGGCATTCCCTGTGAAGCTTCCGCCCTCTCGATGCAGTCATCAAACTCACCACAGCGGAAAGGTTTAACTCGCTTCGACTTCTCTAGGTTGTACCAATCCCTGTTCATTGTCAAATAAAGCTTATTAGGTGCAAGAACATCAACTGAACAAAAAGAAAATTTCACTCCTCAGTTTTTTCCTTCCAAGGCTGGCTGGCAGATAACCAGAATGATTATAAATAATGTCAAAACCTATAGTGACTGATAGCTTTATACAAATGTATTGAGGTTTACTTACACAAGAAGAACTAAGAATTAGTAGTTGATTCAGTACTTTTAATAAAAGAATAAGTTTTACAGGTCTAGGGGCTTTTATGTCATTTTAGTCTTGTATCTGTTGCAAAAGTATAGATAGACCTGAAGTTAGTTAGAAGGTAGCTTTTGATTGTTTGGGAATTCATTTCCTGATTTGTAATCATTCAGCGATAACCAAATCTATCGTGCCCTAATTCGTGAGTATCAGGTCTAGATTGTAACATGTTATCAAGCTCCACCGTCCATGGTTACATAAAACCAAGGAAGCTGAAGCTGTCTTCAGAAACGTAATAGAAGCAATGAACGATGAGAGGTCAAATAGCCGAGGTAGTTAGGCTATGATAGGTGAAAGCATCAGCCGCTATAAGAATTTAGGAACTTAGAGTGACATTTATCACATATATGAATGACATTCACAATGATTTCAATGATCTTCATCTATGCTGTTAGAAACTTAGGATCTGTGTTTAAGTTGTTTTAAGTTTTAACAAAAACTGACAATGGATTTTGCTAGCTGCTACCAGACAAAGCACTTCAAATGTTGATCAACTTTTGGTGGCTTGATATGCGATGGACAAAGACAGGGAACATAGTTCCTACTTCCTAATTCCTATAAAAGTAAGCAGAAGCTGACAAACTGCTTTGGAAGTGTACACACCATGATCCATGTGGTGTAACTGGAAAAAACAAAAAAACAAAAAAACATCTTTTGTCCTGAATCTTTCTATATCAACTTATCCCAAATCCCATATAACAATATCCTTGGACACTCAAGTATACACCACCTCCTAGAATTTAGCTCACATAAAGTACAAATTATTTACGTCCAGTTGATCAACACATGAGTGAAGACAATGAGTAAGGATTTATTAATCATAAAACAAGTAGTAAAGAACCAAGTCAGTACTCAAGTTTCACTTACCAATCAATGATGATCGCAAGTTTAGCACAAACAAAATTGTGTTTTAATGATTGTAATCATTTATTTAATCAACTAAAGGATAGGTAATAGTATTATTGGTAGAATAAGCATCTACCTTCTCCATAATATAATCATTCTGTCCGAAGAGATGTAAGCTCCAAGAAGAACTATTAGATGATTTAATCATATTTGAGTTTTTTTCAACAAATCCAAGTCATTTACAACTGTTCGAAGCAATCACCTTATGTGAGCTGAGCTAAGTAGCTATGTGATATCAGGTGTGTGTTCAACAGGTTCGAATGTGAGAAACAAAAAAAAAATGACATTAACCCAATCATTCTTTTTTACTTCCTCAACAAATGAATACCGCACCAGTTGTCTTTGTTCTTTCAGCAATTCAGCAAATATACACGAGATACAGAAAGCATAAGAATGAAATCGAGGAAGTGAATTAGAGGACTTACACACTGGCATCTTCCCTCCCAAGAAGTTTGACAGGAGTTCCAGATCGGGGAGACATGAGAGGAGAAGCAGAGAGCTCATCGGGGCCCAGGATCTTACCCGGCCACCACGACCCATTCCGCCTCCGAACCCAAACGATGGTCCCAACACCACAATCAACCATGCCTGTTTCTGCGTCAGAGCTCTCCATCTCTTCCTTCTCTTTAAAACTTATTATCTTCCCTATTCTATACAGAATAATGTATATATAGTGTAGTTTTTAAACTCTTCAACTGATTGTAAACCTAAAGCAAATTGCTTAGTCACTTCGATACCAATAAAACAACGGAGAGATTAAAGTTCGCCTCCAGAGAAGAAGAAGAGAGAAAAATGTTGATATGGATAAAGGATCCAAAGACGGCCACATTTGGAAGATTCACAGAGGGGATATGTTTTAGGATTAGGGCTTCCATTCAAATTAGGGAAAATTTCAGAGGGGTTTTTTGGAAACAGAATTCGCATTAGATCAACAGATGCGTGATTCAATTTCTCTTTTTGCAAGCTCTTGGATGTGCATGCGTCCTTGTCTGTGCGGAGGTAGAATGAGACTCGTTGGGGTCGACTCGCTGGTTCAACTGAGAGGAGTTATTTTATGACGTGAAAAAAGTTGGGCATAATTGAGTTTGGACTTTGGTTCAGCTAGTTAGTTTAGGACCTTCACAAGAGTCGAGCTAGGAATTAGGATGCCCCCAATCCGGCAACATGGTTTGCGCGGATATTCGCTGGCGTGTGATTTAAAAAGATAAAACTGCACAAATGGTCCTTGGCATTTGGTCCAAAAAGGTTTGAACTAGCACCACAGGTTTAAACTTTTCATTTTGTTGCGAATTTGGTCCAATTTGCTTTTAACTTTTTTATAATGACGCTTTTACCCTTACTTTTTGTTTTTTTTTCAGTTTCTTTATTTATTTAACTGCATTTATTATTAAAAAAAATAAAAATAATTAAAATATAACCCCTACCTTTCTCTCTCTCTCAATGCAACAGACCACCACCACTGGTTAACGTCATCGTCACCGCCACACCGGCCACCACAACCGCCGCCCCTGCCAACACTGATTCTTCCTTTGTAAAGCTAATCGTCAGATACTTTAGTCATCGGAAACTTTATCTAGCTCCGATGAACACCACACACATACACAAATCTTTGTCTCTCAAGATGAACACAAACATAAATCATGAAATCTAACATATAAGAACACATTAAAAACCCATAAATCTTATGTACAAGAACACAAACATATGAACATGACTCATTGTACACGCATACTCTGATGCATCTAGAATTGATTAAACACAAATGAGACCAAACACATACATATGTTCAAGATCTGATATAGAAAACCAAAAATCTGATATACAAGACCCAACACACAAACCTGATTGGCCACACAACACTTGTCGGAGCAACATTATCTTTAATCTATCCGTTGTTTAAAGAAACAGCAAGAGTTTCCAGATCTTCGTGTCATCTACACGTTGCCTGAACTAAGGTTTTTTAGGCTGACAACTATGGTGGTTATCCAATTTTTCAAATCAGTCTTTGTCCCACCCTTGAAAAACTAAAACCCTAGATCGGTGTAACATCCGGGATTCCAGGTATATTAATTAATCTTTTATTTTGAGTTTTATGGAAGAACTCGGCAAGTTGGTGCGTAGACTCGCCGAGTTGAGACGCGGGTTTTCACCCGGATTGATGCCCGGACTTGGCGAGTCTGCGCTGTTTAATGAAACCCTAATATTTCGGGTTTGAGGCCTATTTAAAGGGCCTTATGGCTGTCATTTGCTCTCATTAGTCCCCAGATTGAAACCCTAGAGCATTTGAGTGATTCAAGTGAGGGAAGGAGCCATTATTGATTCTTGGAGTTGTTGTCTAGCAAAGGAAGAGGAGATCTAGCCAAGAGGAAGCAAGAGAGGGGTGGATTCTTGAAGAACTAAGGTCCAGGATATCACATCCGAGGTACCATTCGAATCCTTCCTAGTTAATGTGATGTTCATATAGATTTAGGGTTTTTGAACCCATTTGTGGCTAGATCTAGCATCCTCATGGTCCCTTGGCGAGTTATGGCTCTGGATTTGGACCCATAGAGGTCCAGAGCACCTCCTTGCCCAAGCTTTATGTGCATCCATGGAGGTTTTGGGTTGGGATCAATGTATTTGAGGCTAAAACACCATTAATGAACTATTTGATGCTTAATGTGCACCAAGACTTGGACTTTACGTGGTCAATAAGCTTAAGAGGATTGGATCTATGAGTTACTAGAATGGATCTGACCGTAGAAGGTCGTTTGAGGTTGTGCATGGAATGCACTCGCCGAGTCCAATCCCAGACTCGACGAGTTGGTGCGGGATGTTCAACGATTATGAACCAGGGACTGAGTAACCGAGTCGGGTGAGTGACTCGGTGAGTGGGAAGAGATTCAGAGGGATCGGGTTCCCGTAGGGACTCGGCGAGTCCACGCCAGACTCGGCGAGTCGGGTCAACCGTTGACCAGGGTTGACTAGTTTGACCTTGTAGTGTTAGTCAGCCAGGGTGAAGGTGGTATTAAGTAGAGTTATGCTTGTGTTGTAGGAGGACGATTGCTCGAGAGATCGAGCATTAGTAGTTACGAGATTTACGAGATTCCGAGATACGCGAGGTGAGTCTTCTCACTATACATTACCTTGAGTAGGTATTTCGAGTTGACTAGAGGGTCTCATGTGCTATGTATGAGTTTATGTGTTGTCTTAGAGATTTTGTGCTATGTGTTATTTGTATGCTGCATGATTATAGAGACCGGGATGGAGGGCCCAACGATATTAACCGGGCTGGAGGGTCTAACGAGCTATGACTAGACTGGAGGGTCCGACGAGCTGCGGGACTGGAGGGTCCTGCTAAGACATCTTGACCGGAGGGTCGGGTTTAGCCTTGAGTGGCATATTTGTGATATGTGGTATTTTGGGGAACTCACTAAGCATTTATGCTTACAGTTGTTGTGTTTGATGTCTCAGGTACCAGTGAGGACCGTGGGAAGGCGAAGGCTTGACTTGTACACACCCACACCGATGGAGTTTATGTTATAGAGATCTTGGGAATTGTTTGAAAACACTGTTGTTATGGTTTGATATTATGATATGATATACATTTTTGTGATTTAAAAATGAAAATTTAAATTGGAAATTTTACGTTGTTACAAGTTGGTATCAGAGCCTTGGTTTGAGGGATTCGGATGCACCTTCGGGCGTATTTGAACTCAAACCGAGGATTTGAGAAATTTTCAAACAAAACTAAAAATTCTCTAAAAAGAAAAGGAGGTTTTGGAACCAAGCAGAGTGGAAGGTGTGTATGGTCAGCCAACGCCCGAACGGTGAATCCCCAAAATACCCTTACATTATATGTTATGAGTTATGAGATATTATATTGTGCATGCTAGAGAGGCTAGGTATTCCTATTAGGACTAGAGTGGCCTGATTTGTGATGCTTTAGCCTAGGAGATTGCTGCTGCTATGAGATACTTTGAGAGTGAGTAGGTAGCAGTGAGGAGCTCGTGAGAGGTCTACTGACGGTAGCCAATGCATAGCGAGAGTAGAGTATTTATGATTTGTGTAACGACCCAAATTTTACGTCCGAAAATTTCATTTTAAAATATTACTTTAGAAAACATTAATAAATAAAAACATTGTTTGATCACACCATAACACATCGTAACCATGTTCTAAAAGGTCAAACCATACATCCCATCAAAATATCATAGTACAATCCCAGTAAATCTCGTAAATGCGGAAACCGAAGAGTGTGTGTATGACGTACCGCTACCGCGATGGCTCCTTCCCCTTCGATGCAGAGGTACGTGAAAACAAAACTGTAAACGTAAGCACAAAGCTTAGTGAGTTCCCCCAACGTACCACATACCATACAATCACATAACATACGCACTGCCAGGCTATTCTGGGGTGCCTGACTACCCGGTACGGCCATTCTGGGGTACCGACCTACCCATACGGCCATTCTGGGGTGCCGTCTTACCCGTGTCAAGCCATTCTGGGGTGCTGACTATCCATGTCAAGCCATTCTGGGGTGCTGACTACCCATCGGTCCTAACAACCGATCCTCGGGGACTGGTCCCCTTCCGCTACCTCTATTGCATAACATAATAGACCAACATACAAGCATACCATCACATACAGTCAGATAATTCTGGGGTGTCCGACTACCCAGAGGTCCTAACAACCGAACTCTACTACTATTGCATATAACGTATCATGATAGCATGCAACATAACAGGTAATAGCAAACCTAGATGATATCACAAAGACAATCATCTGTCATACATCTCCTACTGGTGGGCCGGCCGTGTGGCCTTAGACCCACTACTACTGGAAGGTAACTCACCTCAAAGTAGCTGCTGAACTGATCGGGAACTAACTGACTGCTGCTGCTCCGGGAGTCCTCCGGCTGTAATTCCCACAACATACTCAATCAAACACTGCTAACTGTCCTTTAGGTAAAATGACCATTTTACCCCTGGTCTAGCTCTAAGCCAATGCTAGAGTCAACTTTCAATTGACCCGACTTGCCGAGTGGATCACCACTTGCCGAGTCCCTAGCAAACCATTGTCCTGGGTCCCTGGTTCTACTCGTCGAGTCGGGCTATGACTCGACGAGTTCACCTTCTAACTGTCATTCAACTCCTTCATCCTACTCGCCAAGTTGTATGAACAACTCGTCGAGTTCATCTTCATCCGAAGAACACTTTATGCTAAGACTCGCCGAGTTGTATGAACAACTCGCCGAGTCTGTTCTTGATCTATGAAGATTGCCTTGGACTTGCCGAGTCAGGGCATTGACTCGCCGAGTCCTAACACGGGTGAGTTCAGCTCCCAACTCACCGAGTCAGGGCATTGACTCGCCGAGTCTGTGGACTTCGACCAATAAAAAAAAAAGGGTTCATGGCTATCACAGGTCATTATATTCATGATTGGTGTCTTCAAAGTAAAATATTAAGGTACTGCTTCTTATCAAGTTTTTTTTTTTGTTGTATGTTATATGACCATTTTTAACTTTATGATTATTATGTTTGACAGGTTTGTTTATGTGCCTTGCCCACACACAAGTGAAGTTCTCACAGATGTTTTGATCGATGCATTGATGGAGTGGAATGTGGACACCAAATTGTCTACTATCACAGTGGACAATTGTACTACGAATGATGCATTAATCGGTAAGATTAAAGAAAAGTTGCAAATAAATAAGTTGATACATGATGGCACACACATTCACATGAGATGTGCGGCTCATATTCTTAATCTTGTTGTCAAAATTGGGTTAGAGGTCATTAAAGGATCAATTGAAAATGTATGTGAAAGTGTAGCTTATTGGACAGCAACCCCCAAAAGGGTTGATACATTTGAGAGCTCATGTCGACAACTCAAAATACCTTACTCCAAGAAGTTAGGTTTAGATTGCCCCACAAGATGGAATTCAACTTACTTGATGTTGAAAGTGGCATTAATGTATAAAGTGGTCTTTGGGCGTTTAAAACAACGTGATAGTCAATACAAAACATTGCCCAGTTCATTAGATTGGGAGAACACACAAGAAATATGTGGGAGATTGGAATTATTTTATAATGTCACCACGATCTTTTCTGGAACAAAGTACCCCACAACCAACTTATATTTTCCTAAAATATGTGAGATTAGACTTGAA